GCAGGAGGTTTAAATACACACAGGCACTGTTTTTAGGCTAGGTGTGTCTTACAGAACTCTGCTGGTGCAACAAAGTAAAGAAATATTTGACATCTTCAAACATTTTTCTTATAGGGCACAGAAAAATGCTCCCATTTAAATTCTTATTAAATTCTTTGGGGTTCATATATGAAGTGGATGATTTGGGGTTCTGCCTTCTCCCACAATAATGAGCAAGTGGGTATCTGTTCTGTTAGAACAGATTGATTTTGTGATTCCCAAGCATAATGAATCTGCCTGTCCCTCCCCAGACATCAGCTCTAGGGTAAGGAGATGTTTACTAAGGGTGTAAATTCAGTAACAGACTGGCTCTGCTTGGTGCACTGTTACAAATATTTCTGATCTGTGAACATATTCCCATGTTCTTTTATCACTTTGGTTTTTCTCCCCATCTCTCTAGTGAGCACAGAGGACCTCCACATGAGGAGGTCAACATCTAGGTAAGTCCCACACTCCCATAACTATTACTGCCCTGCTCCATCCCCATCCCACCCCCCAGCAAACTGTCAGAGTCTCAACAGTTTATCAAGATGTTCACTTCATGTCTTACCATTATCACTTAGGACTTATCCATTTCTCTTCAGACTTATCAACACAGTATTTTATGTTGATATTCCTGTTTCTGATATTATGTTGGTAACCTCACTGCTAACGTGTGCTATTTGCTTTAGGGAGATTAGTCTATACAGCTTTGGCTGCAGCATTATCCACTTTTCCTTCCTTCCTGAAGCTCACCATTCTTCGATCCATGCTGCACACACTGCTGGCACCAGCAAACAATACAACCCACAGGTGTTCTCGTATCCTTCTTTCAGAGCTGCATTGTCTCGGCTCACAATGTTCACCAGCCTGTGCATTGCCAAATTTTGTTCCTTGAGAACCCAGCTTTGAGATCCGGCATGCCCTTCTGCATGAGATCTCTGTACTTGTGGTACTTTAGTTTTCATTCTCTACTACATCCACAGTATTGTAGGCTTGTTCAGCCTCCATAAATTTCATAAACTGCTCTGGGTGTTCTTCTCCACGTTGCAAAGTACAATTGATCTACATAACTGGTCAGTTGTGTGTTCTCCAGTAATCTTTGTCTGATTGCTTCATCTCAGATCCCAATCAGCGTATGGCAATTCATCAGGGCCTATGTTAACTCCCCCAGTTGGAAAAACTGGTTCCTCACTTTCCATCTTCATTTCGTGTTCCCATACTGAAGCCACGAATCTCCCTTCCTTGTATCTTTATTTGGTTCCTATTACGGAGGGTGAAGCGTGCCTCAAAATTCTGGGACACGTCAACTGATTTAGAACATCCTATTGCCAGAAAATAAATAAATAAATAAATAAATAAATAATAAATAAATAAAAGTATCTTGTGAGTGTCTTTGCTTTTCCTGGTACCCACTGTCTGCATAAAAGGCCTCTGCTTTTCCAGAGGACGCCAGCAGTGGTGGCATTTTCAACTGTGACATTTCCCCCACTCAGAACATTTTCCTAGTCCATTATGCTCCGGGTACCATCTGCTCTACAATCCATACACGGCCAAGAAGCCTGGCCACAGTTATTTATTTATTCGGCGGATAAGCCCTAATTGCTTAGCCTGGAACAACGCGAGCCAGCTGCGCCGCACGGCATCCTGTTCCAGTCGCTTGTGCCGCGGTTTCTCAGGGGTACAATGCCCCAGCCCCTATTTTGGAGGCAGCTGTGACCAGCGATTAGTTCCAACACGGAGCAGTCGTGCCTCCATTCAGCTCCTGTGAAGAGAGGAGGGAGCAACCACTCTGTAGGCCTGCAGAAGGCTTTTGTTCCCGGTTTCACGCTAGGAATGAAGCCATGAGGCTGGGAGCCGAGCAAGGCACCAATTGTCAGAAAAGGACATCTGGGATACAAATTGTCAGTCATCCCGCCACCCTGCCCGGTGCTAGGGAGGGCTGGAGGGGTCTGTAGCTGGAAGGCTGGGGTTATGGTGTTGTCCCAAGCTGTGTTTTGGATGCAGACTCAATGAGTATGTGCCAAGATGGTCAAACCTGTTGAACAAAGGGCAGATGACAGCTTTAGTACCCCTCTTGCAGGCTGTACAGCTGCTGGCTCTTAGTATCTGGCTTGGTGCAAGCCCTGTGGAAAGAAGGCTTCCAGGCTCATCCTTAGCCCACGTGGGTTGGTCCTGGCACCTCTGAGCTGCAGGCAGTGACAAAGACCAACCTGCCAACAGGAACATTGCGGTCCAAGGTACCGCTCATCCCACTCACTTGTGCAGAAAACAAAGATAGGTTAGTCCTAAACAAAGAGAAAAGCAAATGAAAGACAGGCACACAGACAAGCTGCCTTCATTTTTTATTTTTTTTTCTTAAACAGATAGGTTTCTGCAGCGACAGATGATTAGCATTTACAATAATTCAAATACTAAATATCCAGAAGAATTACTGCTGCATTAAATGTGATTGAGGCAGTTTTACATCGTGGCTTATTAGTAATCAGTTACCAGGCAGCATACTAAACACGCAGTGTTTGAAATGAGATATAAAGCCAGCAAGAGGTAAATGCAATTTTGTTCTATTTTTCCTCTTTCCCTTTAAGCGAGGAGGGCATGCTGGAGACAAAATGGGGATTACTACAGTAGAAAAAAATGCAAAATGGCAAACTAAACTACAGCTGAGTTCAACGCTGTAATTAATGAAAAAGATACAGCCTCTCTGGTCACGTGCATCTTATGCAGTTCTGATGCTGCTCAACCGGAGAGCAGCTCACCTATGAAACAAAAGAAGTAGGAAGAAGATGGAAATGGTTCATATAAACAGAGTTTGGTCTCGTATTTTTGAGGGATTAAGAAAATACTGTATTAAGGAAGAGTGCACTTCGAAGCTTTGAAAACTGTATCTTAAATCACTGCAGTTTCTAGGGTAACAGTTCAGGGGGAATCCCATTACACAGAAACAACCTGCAAATCAGCAATGCAACCAATTATTACCTCAGGGGTAGAGGATCCCAGCTGCTGTTACCTGTTAATGGTATTTCACTTCTGTCTCCTTCACATTATTCCAACAACATTGTCTAAATAACAAATACCTCTGCAATACAACTATATTTTCTTTAAATACCTTTTGTGGCCCTTCTCCAAGATCCAAGAGCTATTATAGTAAACAAAAAAGGACTTAATAGCATTAAAGAAAAGACTGTAGTTGTCCTGTCTATAGATTACCATTACCAGCTCCTCCTACCACCGTGTTAAAAGTTAAGACAGCAGCTCAGGCTGGGGTTAGAAGGAAGGCAGCTCTGTGGTTAGCAGCTGCTGCCACCTTGTGAACAAAATTATAGAATCATAGAATCATAGAATATTAGAAAACATAGAAATCATAGAAAATTCCAAACAGCTTCCCTCCACCCTTTAGTCTATTTAACGCAGCAGGGTATGAAGGGGAAAAAAATCCAATTTTTGCACAAATAAGTAACTTCGTGATAACATCTCCACATTTAGGCACAAAACATAAGACCAGGTCTTAACAAAACAGAGACATCTTGCAGAGAAGGAAGCTATTTTACTGGTGGTACAAGAATTCCTTTTCCACTGAATTGCAAACAATACCTAATGTTACCCTTACTCAAAAGATACGCATCATACCAGCTGCATACTTTGCTAGCCAGTACTGACAGGCAAACTTTCCTTCCTTTCCTAGGTCAGATTCTTTTTTGAAACCTATGTTCCTTCTGTGCCTGCACTTCAAAGAGCAGTGCAAGACATGTTGCTCTAAAACTATCAAATATAAATGGATTTAAAGCTATAAATCCATCAGGCTTCCAAGCACAGGGATCACCAGCTCTCCATCCTCCCTACAGACACAGTAAGGTTGGAATTGCTGTAGTTCTGACCAGGAGCAGACTGGGAAGACCAGGAGAGTTCGGGTGAAGAACAAAATATGTAGATTTTCAATCTGGAGAAGTACTTTCCAGTGTTGCCCTTTTACCCAACCCTTTTCTTTTCTGTGTAGCTTTGTAGGGTTACCTCTTCAAGCTCTAGACTCTGAAAAAGTTGATGTAGTAGTAGGAAAAATAGGAAGACAGAACCGAGACAAAAACAGCTACCGGTTTCCTAAGCACCATTTTTTCACACCAAGATCATTCTCTCCTCCCTACACAGGGCAAGAAGTGAGAGGCAAATCTTAGAGATCAATGAAACCAACAGCAGAATTGTCTGTGCTCATCTTTCCAATTCATAGGATCACAAATAGGTTGGGTTGGAAGGGATCTTGAAGATCACCTCATTCCAAACCCCTGCTATGGGCAGCAACACCTCCCACTAGACCAGCTTGCTTGAAGCCTCGTCCAGTGTGGCTAGGGGTGGGGCTAACATTTCTAGGGATGGGGCATCCACAGCTTCTCTCACCCTAATAGTGAAGAATTTCTTTCCTGAAATCTTCTTTGGAAGAAGCCATGTGTTAAACTTAATATTTGGGCTCCATTCACTCCAGTTCCAGGGACTCTCCTGTAGCCCTGTACAATCCAATTTTTCAACACTTTATATTTCTTTCTACCTCCTGTAATATTCAACACATTCACCATAAAAATCAATGGCAATAAAAGCACAGCTAAACTAAGGATATACAATGTTAAAGGCTCCAGGAAATGTCAAGGCAAGCCACAAAAGCGAATTTCACAGTGAGACTCACAATTCATTCATATTTATGAATGTAGTCAACAGCAGCAGATTTCCAACCAGCCACAAGACTTTATGAAAGAAAACTGTATCGTCACAGTAACAGAAAGTTATACGGCTGCTACCTGTGCTGCAAAACCATTTATTTGAGTGCCCCTGGAGCAAAGTCTGGTGCTGCACATCTTCAGCTTTATTTGGTACGTAAACATGAGTAATGCCACTGTTGCAGCTACAGTTTCACTTGCAAGCTTTTCAAGCTTGCCAGACACATTCTAGCTCTTTTTCATTAAATTTTTGAAAGTTACTACTTTTTTTTTTTTAAGATATTAATCTTTGGACTTTTATTGCAGTACTAAATAATGCTGCCTGACATCGCATTTACTGCCAACAGATAGGCAGCCCTGGCATGTGAATAAATCACATTGCTGCTAGCACAGACAAAGAAGTCTTGTTCCTTCAGTTTGTCGGTGAAATTGCAGAAATAAATATTCAGTCATTCACAAGACACCTTTCTTTTTTAAAAAGTACTCACACATCTCAAGATCTGTTGTAACTAGCAGTCATTCTCTCTCACTGATCTATTATAGCTGGCCAAATTAGTCAGAGATCTCACATAAGTTTGTATAGATGAAGTACAAAGCATGCATTATGAAATCAAGGTAATAACTCAGTATTAATTAAGAAACTCACCCTGTCTTCAGTGAGCCTTTGAGAACAACATTACTCTGTTTTAAGGAATATATGTAATTTCTGTTGTAAAGTCTGCTTGTGATATTTTCTTTTCCTTAAGGTTATGGGTTTTGGGTTGGTTTGTTTGTTTTTAACCCTTTAGTTAGTGGCTTGGAAGGGTCCCTCAAGTAAAAGGAAAGGCTAATATTTGTGTATAGAGGAAAGGCTGTTTGAAAGAGGAAGATTTTTCAGTATTTCTAAGATTTTTCAGTATTTCTAAAATACACTCTGGCTCTGCAGCAGCTTGATTGTTTCAGTTTACTTTAAAGAAGGTTCTTCTCTCTTCTGAGTTTTACTCTTATTTTTAATAGGCATTCTCTTGGCCATGGTGTCTCAGACAAGATCAAGAAGATCCTGATGGTTGCTGGAGGTATGCTACTGTAACAGGTTGAGACACTAGAACATCTTCATGTTCAGCTTACAACTAGTAATTCACATCTGTCCAGACAAAAGGTGACAAATAAACTTCATGTTCCCTGGGGCCAGGTCCTAATGAATACGACAGAGCAGTCCAGAAGGCAAATTGAGTGTTTAGATACTGAAGCCAGCTGGTCACTGCTAAGAGTTTCAAAACAATGTTCCTGAAGGTAGTTCAGAAAGGGATAGTTGTAGTGGTTTTGTGGCTTCTTCACGGTATTTTACATTCCTGTGAAGTTGGTTTCACTAATAAAACAAGTGGAATAGAGCATTTATTGTATTCATGCAGAAAACAACCCTGTTTTCCTCCCAACCACATGCCTTTCCTCTCTCCTTTGAACGCTAGGGTTTTAGCATAACAGCAACAGGTCTGGTATGTTTAAAAGGCTTCCTTTTGATGATAAAATATTCCAGTGAAGTATCACCTTTCATATAAAGCTTGAAGCCAAATCTAGGGAAACAAAAATAAAGAAGGATAATGAATGAAAAGTAGCATCAAAATCTTTAAATGTCAGATGTGTAACAATCCCATATGTGTGAAGATATTACCTCACTGAAGAGTAGCTTTTCAGGTATTTAAAGTCTACTACAGGGAGTAGGGGTCCAGAGAAGCTGACTATAGACAAATACTCAGTGGAGCCCAGGCAATAGGCAGGCTGTGGCTTGTTTGCTCTCTGAATTTTCCTATGAGTACCCTCAGTTATTCCAGTTGCGGGTTCAGTGGATACTACAGATGTTGCAAATGTGAGCTGGAGTTGATAGGGCTTTCAAAATCAATCAAAATTTTCCTAAGATGAGCTTTGAGAGTTGCTGGAAAAGAGGGTAAATGTTCCTAACCTAGGATTAATAAGTAGGGGTACACAAAATCGCTTGTCTTGGAAAAATCACACAGGCTTTTCTTCATGCCCTTGACTTCCCCGATTTCACTGCAGCAGTATTTTCTCTCCAGTGCAAACACCATGAATGGTGCACATCAGCTTGGGAAGAAAGAATGAAAAACAGTTCTCTAATGAAACATTTTACCTGGCTAATAGCTTTTATTTTTGCAAGCAATGCCTCTGTGTGCCTCCCCGTGGTAAAGACTCACCATCTGCCTTTGCTCTAATAAACGAACTCATATTACAAATATGGAGTGCAAACATACTCATATCCTGAATCAACTGCACCCCAGAGTCAGATCTTTTTGCAGAATGTATAACTGGTAAATATTTGCTCCCAAATGTTCAAAATAGCTCGCAATGTTTCCTAATAATAACAAGCATAACCAGCAAAAAAATCATTATTGCTACACTATGGAAGGTAAAAATCCATAAACAAAGACTTACCTATTTTCAATAGCCATATCTTCACACACATCTTTCCAGTATAAAATTCTGCTTCCCAGAATATCCTGAGTGTATTGCTAATATTGTACACAATTAGATGTTGCCCTTCTGTCTGCCTGTACTGTTAGTCTAGTTTTGGAAGCTGCAGGCTTTCATTCCCAAAATTTTACCTTTTAGGTGAGCGACTCATTTAATTGTATATCGCTCCTGGCCTATAAGACTCAGAAAACTTGTTTTGCCTCCTATAACCTTAAACATAATCTTACCTTTTTCCTCTGCCACATACTGGTTCTCACCGCTGATTTCTTCTTCAAACACAGGTCTTTCACAGAACTCTTCCAGAAACTAAAAACAATACAAAATAAACGAGCAAACAAAGCCCAGGAACACCAGTTAGGCCTACACGTGACCTTTCAGTTCCATATACCAGTTTCTTCCACGCAACCCAGGCTGTATGTTTTACAATTCACTGCTCATGCTTACAGATGCTAGATTTTCAGGTCCCGAATTTATAGCACTTTGTTTCATAGGAATGATGCACGTTCAACCATGGGGCTAATATTGTATTAACTGCTTAAACATCATGTCTTTGGAACCGCAGGAACATTCAGATACATGAAAGATGCACAGAAATAGTGTTTTAGCTTTCAGATGAACCACACACTACTTTAAAGTTCAAGTGAATTTGTCTCAGCTGCCCGTATTCCTAAGGAAACAAAGCTTACCCATGCATACAATACCCATGTATTGTATGCCCAATATACGTGTGGATTTCTGTCTAGTCTTAGCCTGTCTTCAAACACATTGGCCAATATCAACCAAATTTGACAGAATAGTAAAGGTCACAGAATGACAGAAGACACAAAAGACATTATATTTCTGTAAATTTGATGAAAATAGCCAAAAGGATCATGTCCTTACTGAGAATGGCACATTAACATTCTCTTAATATACGCTCTTCAATTCCAGTAGAAGACATTGGAGTATCCCACAGAAGAGAGAGACTTTAGGATTCCCTGACTGCAGGAAAAGCTTTAACCAGAGTTCACACTTTAATAAACATCAGATAATGTCATCACAGCACACCAAATCTTAAATGCACACACACACAAAATCAGGCTTTCTTAGTCCCACTGTTTAGATAATTATTTCTAAGTATTGCTCAGAACAGGGTGGTAGCATGAAGTATCTTGCTGATTATACTTGCTGGATCAGCAGCTAGCTCAGCTTAGGAAGGTTTTCTGCAGACAATTAATTCAGTCTCAGCAGCCCCCACTGATTGAAGGCAACTCAAATCAAAGAACGATCAATACTTTCATTACAGCGATGGCATAGTAGCTTGTTTGTGCAAGGTGAGCACAATTCGGTGCACGGTGTTTTTTTTTCCAAGTCCTTTTGAGACTATTAACCCTGATTAACTTGCCTCCCTAAGAAGAGTTCTTCAGGTGAGGGTTCCAGGTAGAGCTGTCCTTAGCACGTTGTGCCTCTGGTGAGCTTACATGGGCTTGCAAAGGCTGAAGGGGTGGGGGTGAGTACAGACGCTTTATTCAGCACCACAACAGCCACATGCATCCCTTCGGTTATCACGTCTCACAGGATGATGCAAGGACTTCTTCAAGCTCCTTCAGCTTCCTCCAGCTTTACCACAGTTGAAAAAGCTTGCCATGATTTGGGGTTCACGGAAGCAGAGGTATAAAGACTTAATAAAGCTTTCTGACCACTCATCTCAAACTAACCTCTGCTTTATGACAACTACAGCTGGCAGACTTTCTTGTGAGTAGCTGGGTACTTTCTTTTCCAGGTCTGACTGGAAATGAGAATGAATGAGAAGAAAACCAAATTCTACTACTGCTTACCTTTGAGTGTGTCCTATACAAAAAGTGACAGCAGTTCCTTCAGCAGAACCACACAGAAACACTGAAGCTACAGCCACTGAAAGGTGTATTCTTGTTCAAAAAAACATTTAGTCCAGTGTAAAAAAGGAAGTCAATTGCATTCTGCTATTAAGTCTAGCAAGTTGACTCAAACCTTTTTTTTTTTTTTTTTTTTTTTTAATACTTGCCTACATTTCAGTTCCTCTTTGGGATGTTCACTTCAGTGCACTTGCCGTTGCAAATGCTGAGTCACATGCCAAAGTGATCAAGAGGGCTGGTCTCATTTATGTGCTGTGTACTCTAAATGACCAAACATCCAGGCCTGTAGGACATCGATGTTGCAGGATCCAGACTGCACTAAAATCAAGAGATCTCAGGCTACCTCCAGCCATTGCAGAACTGCTGTACTAAAGATGAACATTTGCTAAGGGAAGCTACAAAATGATGATTGCTCAGATTATAATAAAGCTATCACTGTTATACCCCTCTTCTTAATATATTTTTCCATTTACTATAAATGTTACTAGACACTTATTACTCATATGGCAGAAAGTGCTAATGGGTTGCACAGTAGGGGTCAGTAATACATAAATCCCCAGGATGATACTCTCCATAAACTAAGGAGATGTCATGTAATAACCATCCTCAAAGAATCATTAGGAGAATTGCATGGTTTAATCGCTTTTTCCTCTGAGGCCCAAGTTTGATGACACAATAAATCCAGCTTTGCGGCTCATGGTATCATTAAAAAAAAAAAAATGATTTGCTGCAAATTTATTTACAAACATCTAAACTGCATAAGACCTCTGGCAGCTTCCATTTGTTAAAAATAAAATAAAATAAAAAAATCTGGCTGGTTAACTTTGTAACAGTAGGCTTTATGCTGGAAAATTATTACTTCTTTCTCTCCGTACACAGAGCCAGTGTAAGTGCTGAAAAAAATACAGTATCACATTACAGCCAGCTTGTCACAAGCACAGGCAAACGCCTCTGATCCGTATCAGAGGAATATGACTAGGTCATCTAGCTACACACAAGCCCAGTGGAACAACAGCCTGAGTCATACGATCACACAGCAATTTCTAGTGCAAGAGATCAGCTCCCTGCTCAGACCACGGCCACTCAAACAGGTTGTTCAAGGCCTTGCCCACTCAGTTGCTCAGTATTTCCCAGGACAGAGGTTCCACAACCTCTCTGGCCCTGTCCCAGTGCCTGCCCTCCCCCTCCCCCCAAAATCCTAGTGTTTCACTGAAATCTCCCCTGTTGCAACTTGTGTGCATTACACAAGAGCAGCACTGCCCATTGCACAAGTCACCAGATACTTCTGAGCTTTCTCTGCTGCAGAGCAGCTGCTTCAAAATGCAGGTGAAAGATCCAGATGTGTTTGTGAGATTTTTATCATCCAAGAACAAACAAGAGGTTCTGCAGCTGCAAACAGATGGGGATGTCAAAGGGAAAGGATGAATTTTCTTCATGCAGTCAAGTCTGTGAGAGCCTGAGGCAGAGCATCAGTACTGACACCTTTTGGTGGTAGGAACAGCAAAGACCAACACCTTGCCTGATAGTGACAGCAAAGAGTTAAGACTTCTGCTCAGGAAAGGAGAAGCAGAATACAATTCATATAAAATAAAGTACTTCTGGCCTACAAATTTCAGTTTCAAACGGGAAACTGACTTGGAAAACCTCAACTGTTTCTGTTCAGCAAATGAAGAACATCTGAAATTAATTAGGGATGAAGACAAACTGATCTTTTAACAACTTCCTTCAAGCATGAAATCAGATAAATTAGGAACATATTTAAAATAAACATGTGTAAACATATCAAAATGCTGAGAACATTAAGAAGATTATTATTAAAATACTGAAGCAGCTTTAAAAAAAAACACTAGTGACTGAGCCTGTTTCATTCCCATATCTAAGAAGTTACACTCAAAAGCCCTATGAGTGCTGAAAGCACATGAAATACCGGAACATGAACAAGGCAACAATAAAAATAAATTATAGGAAACAAAAGATACTTATTTTAAAATCGTTTTTAATAAAAATGGAAATAAGAACAATTATACCAGTAAATAATGAAAACTAGAGCTTAAAGTTAAAAAATATTTAGTCTGTTTTACCTGATCCTCCAACAATGCTGCATAGGTTTTACTTTAAAACAAGATGCAGATACTCAGCAGTGTCCTGCTTTGCAAAACCTCTTAAATTTTAATTAGAATTAACATCCGTATTTCATATCTGAGGGCAAAATCCACCAACAGTTACTGGATGGAGTCACTTCTGGTTTACCGAACAGATGAGCATGTACAAGGAAAAACTACATGCTATTGGCAACGCTATTGCTAATCAGCAAGACTTATGTCTTACTGAAAGGCTTTTGAAATTTGCTTTGAAGAAAAACTCTTGGAACACGCAAGTCTTCTTTCCTATTCACAGTTTCTCGGTGCACATATTCATTGACCACTTGCTCATATCCCTCAGACTTGAAGAGCTGAGACAAGAACTCTAGAAGACAAAAAAAAAAAAAGATTAAAAACCCTGTTTAAGCAACTTTTAAAACACTACTCAGCATTTACATAAGCTTATGTTCTTATGTGTTAGAGCATGAAAGATCACACGTGCCTTGGGATTTCAAGCTGTTCTATGCAAGCAGACTGCTGCACTTGTACTGAATAAAATCAATACAGGACTCCTCTGGAAACATCTACTTAAGCAAAACAGCTTGCAAAAGTGGGATGTAAGCTCAGGAAAGGAACTAAACCCAGTTTAGTTTCCAAAACTTGCCACATCTATTATTTTTTATTGTGCCTCCTCATTCTCCCTGTGACCAACAGGAGTATATTTTTTGCTTTGTGCAGGTGGCCTTCACTAGCTGAATACATCACCTACTCCAAATATTCCAGGGGTGATCCAGCCTTACAAATGCATCTCTGCTCGAGAAAGAATATCACCCAAGGTTACCAGACCTTCACACGCCATTGCTCCATAGAAAGAGGAACAAAATGGCAAAGTGGGTTTGGTGGTACCAAGCCTCCACTAGGTCAAACTGAAAGTATTTCTCATAAACAAAAGAATTTCAGTCAAAGCATATCTTCATTCGGGAAGGCAGAATTGCCTCACAAACAAGGTGACCCAAACAGCAGAGAGGGCCTCCCATGCTATTGACTTGTCATGTTAACTGCAATTCATTACCCTTCCTTTCCCACAGCTTGTTTCGTTTATTTCAGGCATGATTCCAAAGAAATTTAAGCCATGCTAAACTTGTGCTACTTTGTAGAAAATGAAAGCACACCCATTTTTTCAGTACACAGGTGGAGGAGTGTGATGAAATGGCTGATCAGGTAGGCATAGGCAGCCCAGCACTAGAAGACATGGTGTGTTGAGGGGGAAAAGGAGAACACCCACTTTGGCAGTAATGCAGGATTTTATCAACTTAAACCCATCATGGAAGCACGTGAACTGGCTGTAAACAGTGTGTGTTTAAAATGGGAGATCCACATCAATGAAATAAAAATAAACAGCTGTTAATTGTGCATCAATTGAAATCTCATTATAGGACATGTTCAATTTCTTCATAAAACAGAATTACAATCACACACTCCTCCAGAAATTTAAGATTATTTCAAACAGTGGAAGAATGGATTTGCTGCCATGGAAGATCAGTGGTGTTATCTGAGGCCAGATACGTTGCAAATGTATCATTCAAATCATCCTATGCAGTAATTAGCTGGTGTACCAGCGTAGCACCTCTGCTAAATAAAAGAAAAAAGCACTGGTTCCAAACTGTGCAAGAATGATGGAGTCACATTCCCTGTGACCAAAGAATTCTCAGGCATTAAGCAAAATGTGTATGAAAAGCAGTGAGATGAATGAGATCATAAGGGATTAGAAGCAGGAGCAGAAGTGGTCCATGAGAGAATCACAGCCCAGCCCACGGCAAAACAATTGCTAACAGATCAGTTCTCTTTCTTCTTCCTTCCTTCCTCTTCCCCCTCCCTACCATAATTCTTCCCTCAAAGCACATATTCATACTAGCAAGGAATTTCTCATTCAGAAACAAATCCTAACACATAATGAGTTTTAAAATTCCACTGATAGGTCGTTTTCTTTTTAATTTGGTCCCTTTAGCATCCATTCTTTTTTAAGAGCTAATTGTTTAAGTAGAACTAAAAATCACTCAGTAAATAATAGTTCTAGAAATGCTTCAATGAAGCTGGAGAACAGCCTGCATTATCTTAGATTTCATCATTGTCCCGTAAAGAATAGAAAGAGCCCAGACATGATTAATGGTTTTTATATATCAGAAGCAATTAGGTAATACATTATGTCATAAAATATGAACAACATTTGCTTGGCTTCAAATTGGTCTCTTCAGTAGCTGTATTTTGCTTTAGACTAAAAGAACAAAGAGCCCAGAGAAATAAACACACAGCTCTTATGACACAATGCCCTATATTTGATATGGGGAAGTAACGGTTCAGTAAAGTTTAGCACGAGAATTGTGAGTTAGGAGGCGAGCTATAATCTCAATTCATTTTGAGAGTCTAAGCAAATTCCTTCATGTCTCTGTGCTTCCATTTACCCACCAGTAAACTGCAACAATTACTACTCTTCCTAAAGCATTCAGAGCAATGACAGAACAAAAAGACTGTTTAAATACTGTACCAAATGGAAACGCTTTTTGCATCATTTTTATGAAGAAACAGAGGGCAGAGTGACCACAGCTATCTCAACAGGATGTCTGCACAAACTTCTCAGCACTGTAGATATGATTCAGAGAAAAGAAAACACTCTACAATATGCCTTACCTTCAGTAAAAAAATATGCTCTTGTCCCATCTTGTCTAACATAGAAGTTTTCTCCAAGTTTGCTGCCAGATTTAAACCTGAGCATTGCATGATCATACAGTCCGTAGTCTCTGAACAGGACACATTTGCCTGGTTTCAATACCTGTCATGTAATACATACATGCTTTAATAAGACAGATTGATTTAGCCATATATATATATATGTATGTATATAACATACGTATGTTTATTTACACATATAGACACACACATAACTAAGTCAAGGTATCCTAACGTGTTAAATACACAAGCAATATATATTTTGAATTCATTCCCTGTGCAACAAAAATGTTATATAAAACTGGATTGTTAGCTCTTACAAAATTATTTTTTCCCCATGAACGCTAGGGTATGAAGTATTTTAAGATACCTGTTTGGATGCTGATCAGCTAAATAAGCTTTTTGCAATGCTCTTCAAAAGCAAAGAAATAAATGTACAGTTCAACAATAACAGTGAAGTCATAACAGGGCATTTTCTTTGCTGGCTAGCATACAGTCTAGCACACAATGTTGCCACATAAAATTTAGAATACAATAACATGCTTTCAATGTGAGAAGGAAAAAAAGTTGCAACATAATAAGAAATAAAAAAGGAACAATTTCAGGGAAATGGTATTGCAATATAATAAGAAATAAAAAAGGAACAATTTCAGGAAAATGGTCTGCAGGTGAGATTGTTTTTTTGTTTTGTTTTGGTTTGGTTTTTAATAGCTCTTCAATAAAGAAATCAAGCTATAAAGAGTATTTAGAAATACACAGCCATTAGCCATTCTGACTTTAGACTTTTGATGCATGCAACTTTCCTACCTCAACAAATGCCAGCTATAGGAATATTTACCACTTGCAACTTTGTGCAGAAACCTACAAATGAGCCAGATAACTCCACAAAGAAACAATAATTGTCCTTTTCATGTACATGAGCTATGAACCAATCCCACCTTTAGAAAATGTCTGGAGTTGCATGAAAAAAAAAATCTAACATTCCTTTTTCAAACTACTGATGATAAAATGAACAGGACATCTGATAACATAAAAAAAATATACACACGTAAAAAAATAAGTTGGCTATGTCCCTCTGCAGTCAATATATAACTCAAGCTCACCTCAGAGAAATTAAAACATTTGAATTGTGATTGTTCTGAAACTGCCCTCTGTGCGGGCCTATCGTAGCCCATCAACCAACAAAGGCAGTCCAGAGAGCTAAATCTCTCTAGATTAACTTTAATCTCTGAGCATGCCATTTCTGAATGACCACAGGTCAAGCGTGTTTAATAATAACAATAATGTTCCAACTGCAAGTCACTGTATCTTCTGGAAGTCAATTATGGTTCGCTGTCATCCGTTCCTTATCAACAGACATTTCAGCAACCCATAAACATTATTTGTATCATACAACGCTGAAGCCCAAGTCCCAGGTTCGAGATACCGTTTTCTTGTGTTCATAACATACATTAGATTAGAATTCAGACCAATTCACAATACCATGAGAAGAAAAAACATAGCAAAACAAAGTTTAGCCCTTATACAAGGCAAAATAACTAAATACTTTCCATGAATACAATGTTAATTACAAATCACCATTACAAGTGGGGCTATTTTCACAGAATAGAATTGTACTTTCAAGATAAAAAGCATGTAAGTTCTTTAAAGGCTGTAAAATAAGATGTTAAAATACTTACCTTGTAAATGTTCTTCAAGACAAGATGCATTTTGTCAGGATGAATGGCAGAAAGAACAAATATAAGAGTGACAACATCCACGGAATCTGCTGGTATATTTTCTAGAAGGTCATCTTTGGTAAGATCACACTGGAACACTTTGCATCTTTCAGTGCTGTATAAGGAATTTTTCTGGGAGAATGGAAAGAGCATGCTTTCACTTAAAATTAGCAGCATTTGTTACTTCAAAAAAAAAAATAATTAGTAGAACAACACAAAAGATGGTGGCAAAAGAACATAAACATCCACTAAGTGACTAATACAACATGAAGTTCATTGCTGGATACTGCAAGTGAAACTACAACTTCTAGAAGAGACTGTTCTCAGGAAGTCGAGAAGGAATGTGTGTTATGACAATTCAGAAAACATACCATTTCTCTTTTACTGCTGCTTCTATTTTTAAAAAATATAGAAATACTGTTAAAAGAAGGCTTTCATGACAGCCCTAGGAATAGCTGATGGCATTTGTGCTTGCGAGGGGGCTGTGGTGCCCGGGTACGGGGGCACTCTGCAGGGCTGTGCTGGTCAGGCTGGGGGCAGAGGCAACTGATGGGGGCCCTGCCACTGACTGCCTCCCATAGCAGCTCTTCTGTGGCCATGGAGTGCTCAGAGGTGCCTGGCCTTATTTCCAGTGCTGTGAGATGGGTTTGGGTGCTACACTGAACCCATTTGAGGAAGTTTAACTAAGGGTCAAAATCACTCGCCAGACTCTCCTCCGCCTCTGGGGACGCACAGCTTTCGTTTGCCTGTTCACACCAGACTTAGGACTTTATTACTGGTCATTCAGGGTAGGTTCAGGTTGGAAATCAGGAGAAATTTCTTGTCAGATAGAGTGGTTAAGATTGGAACGGGTTGCCCAGGGAGGTGGTGGAGTCACTGTCCCTGGGGGTGTTTAAGGAAAGTTTGGTCTTAGAGATGTGGCTCAGTGGGCGACATTGGTGGTAGGAGGGTGCTTGGACCAGATGATCTTGGAGGTCGTTTCCAACATTAATCATTCCATGATTCTATGAAACAGATCAATCTAAATTTTTTGACAGATCTAGTCTACTCTTCATACATAAAGAAAGGCAAGAGAAGTCTGTCACTCCAGTCATTTGTAATTTCATAAGCTTCTAAGGACACTATAGAAGAGGTTCCAAACATTACACCAACCTTCACATACTCCACAGCTCTGGGAGAGAAATCACAGGCATACACAAAAATGTTCAGATCTTCTTCCAAGAGTGGAAACAAGCAGTTCCCAACCCCACAGCCAGCTTCCAGAATGGTCAGTTTCTGATCTGCAAACTGGGGAGGAAGACATCCAAAACAAAGCACATCATTTTTGTTTTCCTCATAATAGCAGCAGAGTCACTGTTCAATCAGCATATTAAAAGCTATCATCAAGTTTAATTACCATTGATTCAGAAACTGAAGTAGCCATCCATTGGATAATCTTGACACTACAGAAGAAGAATCCTGATTTTTGCAAAATTACAAATCCTTTTAGAATGTATTAATGTTTCTTAATTACTTACTTAAGGGGTAGATGACTAAACAGATTGCTGTACCATTTCTGTCATGTCTCATTCAGATAATAAAGAACAACAGATGCATCTGACTATTCCCCTTAATGATGTTTTGCAATTAGCCTGTAATTCTGGGTGCTCTTCTTTAAAGCTGTGTTCCGAAGTGCTCCAACTTGCAGCTTTAAACATCGTATTACCAAATAGACATGTGTCCTAAATAGACTCTCTGTGTTCTAGATTCCATTCTTAGTATCCACATGGGTCAACTTTAAACCGACCTGATGCACCTGATTCTGAGAAGGTATCTTTGATATGAAGAGAGGCTACGCAGGTCACTGCATACTTAATGTGTGAGAGCTCCTGCCTTAAGGGCTTAATTAGAAGTATTATTAAATCATTTGAAAACAATCGATCTGTCTCTTACAGAGAAAGTGTACAAGACTCACCTCCCGACATGCTTTTAACTCTTCAAACTCTCTGGTTGTCCAATGTCTGTCTTTAAAGAAGTTGGTGCTGTTTCTTTTGTAAAACAGATCCCAATTCTTCTGTGCCTCTTTTTCCAGTTTCAGTTGCTTGAACTCAGACACCAAAACCTGATCTTTTGCCAATCTCTCAATCTCTTCTGGGCTAAGAATTCTTGTACTATGGCCTTTTCTTTGGAAAGCCCCATCTTCAGTACCTGTTGTTACTGTGTCTAAGCAATCAGCCGATGTGTTTTCATGGAGCATCCTTGAATCTTTCACACAGATATGAATAGCAAAGACCCAAGGGTGATTTTCATTTCTTTAACATCTATTTCCATCACTTAACTTGGGTAAAATAACCAAGGATCTAGAAGCAGAAGAAAAAAAAAAAAGGGAGGAAGAGTTACAGCGTGCACTTATTTGGGCTTTATGGTGGTATCTCAAACATGATGGACTGCAAAACCATCTGACTTCTTGTAATTTCAATATTCCACCCAAACTAACAGCAATCACACTGATTTCAAAGTTAAAGAGGATACTTAAAAGTCTGCTGGTCTACTTTCTGCATTGTAAAAAAAAAAAAAAAAAAGAAAAGAAAAAGAGAGAGAGAGAGAAAGATGTGGCAGCTCTAAACTTCTTTCATTAAAATGACTTTAAAAGGAGAGGAAGGGCTTTGTTTCTTGTGAACTCCAGTTAGCAACAACTCAGAAAAAAACAGTAACCGAAAAACAGATGACATGGAGTGCCACTAGATTGGTAAAACAAGCTGCTGTACTCGTGTCAGCATTTCTCCTTCCTGTTCTCACCTCAGAGAGAAAACACTGGTGAAACCATCAGCATTCGTAACACCGCGTCACTTGGGCAACAGAGCAAAACCTGCACGGTGGCAAGGCCGGTGGCCAGACCTCGTCAGCACTCCTTCCCCTGCCTCTTCCTGAGGATCTGCACCCGTTTGGACAATCGCAGGTGGTTGTTTTTTTTCTAGGGGATAAGAAAAATGGAGCAATGAAAGAGCTCTTCAAAGGCTGTGATCCAAATCTTCTGGCTGATGTTAAGCCAGTTGTGACTTCTGCCTTGCCATAAAAAAAAAAAAAAAGAAGAAATAAAAATAATAAATAAAAGAAAAAAATAAAGTAAAACAGTACTTCAACTTACCAATGGAAAATTGGAAATGGGAAGAAAATGGAAATGAGTAAAAAGTGGAAATGGGAAAAAAATGGAAATGAGGAAAAACCAACAAAACTTAAAGCAAAAAAAAAAACTGTACTTCGTTTAGATGTATTGCCATAAATGATACAAACAATGCTGCAAACAAAGCCATCAAATACAGATGTGCTAATGAGATAGAGAGTTGTCAAAGTGATGTCTGGATTCCCGGGTGTCAGAGCACGTCCCCTGCTCCAGCAAGGATGGAGAAGGTTGCAGAGAGGGGCTCCTCGTGGGTACACCCCAAAAATAACCCTAACCAGCAAAGCTCCCACTATCTACCCGGCATGCTAAACAGGCTCAAGGTCCATGCTTCACAGAAGGAGCTGCAAACCAAGCCCAGCCGGTCTCCCTGCTCACCGACCCCCAGCCCCCCCCTGCAGCCTGCCCTGCGCGCATCCCCGGGGGGGGGGGGGGACCCGATCTCCGCGCACCCCATGCGGGGAAAGCCGCAGCCCCCCCGGCTGCCCCCCCGGCTGCCCCTCCTCGCCCCTCCTCGTCCCTCCTCGCCCCTCTCTCCCTGCCTGCCTGCCGAGGGCGGGGAGCTGCGGGGGCCGCCCCTGCAGGCCCCGCGCCCCCTCGGCCGCCGGCGCCAGCCGCCCCGGAGCGCTTTCCCGGCTGCACCGGGAGCCCGGAAGGGCGCGGGGCGGCGGCGCACGCAGCGGGGCGGAGGAGAGGAAGGGAGGAGAGCGGCGGGGCCATGAACGGCTCGGCGAACCCGCTGCTGGACAAGGAGGAGCACCCGCTGCAGCTGGGAGAGAGCTTCGAGCGCCGGCCCAAGGCCTCCTTCCACACCATCCGCTGTGAGCGCCGCTCCCCGTCCTTCCCTTCCCTTCCCTTCCCTTCCCTTCCCTTCCCTTCCCTTCCCTTCCCTTCCCTTCCCTTCCCTTCCCTTCCCTTCCCTTCCCTTCCCTTCCCTTCCCTTCCCTTCCCTTCCCTTCCCTTCCCTTCCCTTCCCTTCCCTTCCCTTCCCTTCCCTTCCCTTCCCTTCCCTTCCCTTCCCTTCCCTTCCCTTCCCTTCCCTTCCCTTCCCTTCCTTCCCTTCCCTTCCCTTCCCTTCCCTTCCCTTCCCTTCCCTTCCCTTCCCTTCCCTTCCCTTCCCTTCCCTTCCCTTCCCTTCCCTTCCCTTCCCTTCCCTTCCCTTCCCTTCCCTTCCCTTCCCTTCCCCTTGTAGGACAGCTCACCCCTGCCTCATCCTGCCTGGCAGGAGCACCTGAAGAGGATCCAGGCTCACAGTTTGAAACCCAGGGGTTGTGCTCCTGCCGAGGCAACATGTAACCCTGCGACCTCCTAGCGATCTAGATACTAAGGCACTTTCCAGGAAAGCGAGGAGAAATGACTCAGAGCCAGACAGTATTGCCACACGCCTGGTGATGCTGAAGGGGAGAGATGAAGCGTGAGGCGAGGTCTTAAGCAGTAAGAGAGTTTGGGGATAATCATCTGGTTTTGCTGGTGTTCTCTTTGAAGACACCAGGTGTCATTCCAGCTGCTTGTTCCTAGCACTGGGTGCGTTTTATTTCATAATTAGGAAATGGTTCTGAAGGGGAGCTCACAACATTTCTGTACTTGAGTTCAGCATTTAAAACAAACAGTTAATCACCAGCAGTACGTGAAAACAATACCAAAGTCATATTTCAGTAGCCTTGTGTTAAGGTGGGAAACTTGTACAGTCGGTAATAGGATATTTTGTTGTATGATGTGTGATCCTAGGCACAGTGTCATGGCCTGTTTTCATGCAGTGTGAGTACGTAGTTCCAGTGAGGTCATTCATCTGAGTGAGACTTGGAAGAGAAACTTCCTAGATCGAGCTTTTATTCGAGAAGATGATCAGTGTTTGAAGCAAAGCTACTTTCCCTAAACAGTCAGCCTCCATCTAATGCATCAACACCTAAATTTGTGTGGTTCACCCCTCTGATATGCATAATTACAGCATGTTAAGGGATACCATGCTATATGTATGGTGTATTTAACTGTTTATGCATAATACTGAAGGCTTCTAGCCAGCACTAACACACTAGCAAATCTTCATTTATAAATTAGTTTTCAAATAGCCCGACCATCAGATGAATGAGGTTGCAGTCTGGTACTTTCTGAATTAAACCCAAGCTGTATCCAGATAGAAATCCAGTGTATTTCTAGTATTGACAGTGCTTTCAGGTTCTGATCAAGTTCTTAAGGGGTTGCAAAGCCAAGGCACTCCAGACTACAAGTGAAAGAGTGCAGTTTTATTGCAAAGAGTTTTTTGTGAGGTGTGTTTTCAGTGAGTGACACTCAAGTGAGATCTCTCTTGATTTTTCTGGTGAAAACTTTAGTTTTCTAGACATAGATCTGGAATGATTTATCTGGGATCTAAGTGTGATATTATTCCTGTAATCCTCTTCACGCAAACTACAGTAAGAGGATTTTGCAGGCTAAATTTGTCTGTGCCTTCTTAAAATGCTTTATTATTTTCTGTAATGTTTATGACATTCCATGCTGAAAAACTGGGATACCATTGGAAAACATCTGAAACCATATGACTTTTGGAAAAAAGGGTTGTGATTACATTTGGATAGAAATGTGTGCTCCGTCTCAACAAAATTAGCCATGCACACCTAATAAGCTTTCTAAATGAAAGCAATTAGTTGCTCTTAGCAAATATGCAACATTGTTTTACTGATACCTAAGAAAGAAGCGTGATACGATGAGCTTTTTCATTTAGTGACTGCTCTGTTGAAACTCTAGATCCCTTTTTGGCAACGCCACTTACTCTTCTACAGCTGGTTTGTTTTGTTTAGCAAGCTTGCACATAAAATAGGTGGGTGACAATAGCTAGAAATAGGCTGCGCAGATGAAAATGAGGGATGTGATTTGGTCTGGCAGTTAAGGCATGAGGATTAAGTCAAGTGTGGCCAATTCTGCTTGTTGTGCTGTCAAAGTAAAACTCAATTAGACATTAACGTCCCCTTAATGAGAATTTTTTACAAGCTGTTTTTTTTTTTTTCCCCTGTAAATATGCTTTTCAAAGTGGAATTACTTTTTTTTTTCTGAGATACGAATGTCTTAACTAATGCAGTAATTAAATGTCTTGGTGGCGACCATAGTTGCACTGCTTCATATCCAGAGATGCTAGAATTTTATATATATATATTTGTATATATGTGCTAGAATATATATAATCTTATTTCACTTTGTCTATATCCTGTCAAAATGTTACATGTTTTTTTATGGCTCATCAGCATGTCAGAATTATTGAGAGGAACATACTGAAGTTAAACATACTTAAGTAAAAATGTTCTTGGTTCAAATAAATATACTAAACAGAAGCCCATTATTTGGGGGACACAGCATTCTCTACAGTGCAGCAATTTTTTTGAGACTAGGGCTAATTTAGAGCTTTAACTCTCTCAACTTAGTCATGCTCTCCATCCACAGCAGCTTTGGCCTTGTGTGGAGCTCCTCCAAGGTCTCCTCTAACCTTAAGGAGGTGTTATGAAGGCAAGATGCCTCTTAGTAGTCAGAAATATCAGTGAGGCTAAATGAGCTGATTTCACTAAATTAATCTTCGCCACAGATGCAGTCCTCAGGTTTGAAACTGGCAGGAGCCACCCAGAGCCCTGGGTCTCAAAGTTGTTACCCCTTTGGGATGCTTGGCACAGTTTTGCACCTGTGTGTCAGGTCACCAAAAGCCTGGGCTTTGGAGAAGCCTTCTTTTGGTCTTCCAGACACTGTCTAGAAACTGGCTCATTTTAAAAAGCAAATGTAGAGTCTGGTATCATCACGTGGCTGGGGCTCTGAGCACAGACGCTTTGTACCGGTGCGTTATTACACCCTTGCTGTAAACTACCGTGTGTTTTAGCATTCCCTGTAATCACAGCGAATGTGCAGTGACTTTTTACGGGGCAGCATTCTGATGGCTTCAGGACTCTTGGAAACATAATCACCATTATTTTCCTCTTTAGATGATTTTAAGCCGGCCTCGATCGATACATCCTGTGAAGGGGAGCTCCGAGTTGGTAAAGGAGACGATGTAACCATCACTTTGCCACATATCCCAGTAAGTGTGCTACTTGTTGCCCTGTTTACTCCAAGAACTTTGCAACATAGATCTTCTACTGTACATGTTCTTTTTCCCTTTCTTTGTAAAAACAGGTGGGCTTAGTATTTGAGCAGCCAGACTGGCAGCACAGTACATGGGGGAAGGACTATACTATTGACTCTTTGTTAAGGGTTTTATTTGTAAGGTTCCAGTTTGAGCATTTGTTTTGATTCCCTCCTTCTGTTATTACTTGATTAACGAGAAGACTTTGCCTACTAGCTGAAGCTCTAGGATGGTTTCCATCCCTTTTAGTGCTTCAGCTTAAAGGCAGAATAACTTTGGGTTTAGTCAACGTGTGATATTCAGAAGCCACAGGTAGGCCCGTGAGCTTGCTCATTGCAATAACGTGTACAGGTAGCACAGACCATTCCCTGCCTTGAGCTTTATCAATGGAAGTGAGAGGGAATTTTCTACTGAGTGACAATGCAGTGGTTTCCCATCCGCTTCCTCCTCAAATTATGCCATAAAGATCTATAGCGTGAGGATGATGGTCAAACAGCAATAAAACAAGTGCTCAAACTCTTTTTATAGATGCAGTTGTTTTGTAATTGAGGGCTCGGTGGCTGCCTTCCCAAAACAAAAGAAAGTGCTTACATGCTGGAACCGAATTTGTTTATTAGCTGAAGCTAATGCTACATGTCAAACCAATAAACCAGCGTGCACAGATGCAGATAGGTTTGGTGGTTGCAGGGGAGCACCCAGCAGTTTGGAAGCCATGTGTCAGATCCTCGTGGTGGTGTTTTTTCTAGCACGTTGGTGTTTTTAATTGACAGGTGATGGTTCTGTGGTAATTCCCACTGAATGAGGCTTTAACCTGCTTCCCCTGCTCCTGTTTTTTATATGGCTTTGGTCACGTTTAGTGCTGCAGAAGGCTGTGTGCTTTTGTTTGGCTATAAAAGTGAAGAGCTCAGTAGTGCTATTAGGGAGCAGGCAACAATGCTTAATAGCAATGCCATTCATCTTTGACTGGGATCTGTGTTGTTCATTCATCTTTTGTGGTGAACAACATCACTTGTAACGTCCCTTTCCAAATCTCTCTACCGACAAGTTTAATTTGTTTGTCTTCCCATGAGTACGAGTGGCTTTCAGCCTGTGCTGTGCTCCAGAGGGGTAAGAGCTAGCTGCACTAAGTGCAGCCCCTGGGTGTATGTTGTTCCATGGAAGTGGTGTGTATGTTCAGCAGAAAGAGCTGGGAAACACGGGGTATGATGAAGCAGAGTGAAAAGTTCTGGGGCCACTTCATCCTTACAAGGTTTACCAAATTTCTTGTAGCCCAGTTTGCTTCTGAGCTCCATAACAA